ACTCCAGTCTTCTGGACAGAGAGCTCTGATGTTGTTCCTGGGATCTGCTGGAGCCACTCTCCCAGCTTAGGAGTCACATCCTCTAGTACTCCTACCACCACCATATGCTCCTACCATAAGATATGTATATATCTTATGAACCTATTCTAATCTACTACTATCTCCTCCTCTTATAGCTCATATACACCACATTCACTTCTTGCTAAGTCACAATGTGATCTATTTGGTTTTGATCAATGTATTGTTTAAGCTTTGCCATTGTGATTTGTAAACTATATGTTAGTTTAGCTTGTTGTGTGAAATCAGCAAACTTACTTAAACCATGTTAATGCTTTATGTGAATAGAGCCATATCATCTATTTCTATCTGCTCATATGTAACTAGGTTTTTGTTAGATTTCTAGCCTGCTTTCCCTTTCCAAGAGCTCAAGTTATCCAATATAATACTCCTTTCTTCACATTTTGCCCCACAAAACAGCCCTTTGTGGTAAGATGGGCTAAGAGACAGTAACCGGCCCAAAGCCTTCCAATTAGCTTTCCAAAACTGGCCTTGGTCTCCCTGAACCCAGACCCATGCCCTACCCACCACAGTATAATTACTTTTCTAATTAGTTCAACTTTTCTGTGAAGACTTTTTTCCTTGTTCTTTCACACACACACATGCACACATCACTTTTTAACATATATTCATACCTGAGGAGGAATGGGAGGTGTACCACCAGTGGGAATATAGTACAATAATAGCAAGCCCTTAAACCCAACCAATCAAGTTACCTCTCCATTGCTCTCATTTCCACAGAAATCATCTTCCATTTGAGCTCCTCGCCAGTCCCTGCTAATCTCTTCCTTCAAATCCACAGAAAAACTGCAATCTTCTGAAGAAAGATTCAAGGGCTTTCCATGAGGCGCTGATCTAGGTTTTGAGGAATAGGTGAAAATATCCTCGTGGCCTTCAGGTGTTTGTTTGATTTCACATGTTTGGTCATCACTTGGTGCAAAGGTTGAAAGGTCAGGGGATGTTTCACAGGCTATAGGCAAAGGATTGCTGGACTCCAGCTGAGAACTTTTTTTGTCAGGAAATATCCATTCATCTGCAAACAAGAAAAGTCCAACACTGCATATTAATAATGTCTGTATAAGAATGTCTCTTCGGGAAAAAGCAACTATTCAGTACTGCAAATATAGAAATGTGAATAGAAACTGTAAGAAATCACAAATATTAAAAAATAAATTGGTATGATGTAGTAATTCAGGAGTTGGACAAGGAGTGGGGAATTCCAGGTTCAGGTCCAGTGGAATTCACTGGGAGACTTTAGGCCAATCAGTCAGTTGAACCTATATTCCAGCTTATTTATTTACTTATTAATAAGATTTATAAGGTTGCCCAACTCAAAGAATATGACTCTGGCTGGAGTACAGCATAAAATCAAACAATAAACCAAGCCCCACCCCCCATTTAATATTAAACATCTACAATATATAAATATAAAATGCACAATATAAAAAGATTGTTTTGGTGGGGGATAACATAAATAGAAATTGTCATATAAGCTGCCTTGGCCTCCTGGGAAAGGAGATATAAATTAACTAAGTAAACAAGTAATAATTTTAACCTCTCAGGATATAACAAAAAGAACAATCTTACATAGACTTAGACCATTAATTCATCAGTCTTGCACTGCATGTTTGGACAAGTTCAGATGACCGAGATCCGATGGACATCCTGGAGACTGCATGCAGAGCATATGGCCTACCTTCCTTACGATGGTACTAGCCTATTGCTTTTTCCTCTTTACTGATCCTGTCTTCAGTGTTATAATCTTTTAACCTCTCTTCTCAAAAGATTCAGGATAAACTATTTTTAGCTACACACATATTTTAATTTCAATATACAGATTATTCTGGAGAAATTTTAGGGATGGTTTCCCCCTTAATACTTAATAAAGTATTTTGGTGTTTATTTTGATAGATCATGCTGCATTGCAAGGCTGTTGATCCCAACGTTGCAGGTGCATTTTCAGTAGTACAGAAGTACAAGATTTTTAGTAATGTATCTTGTACCAATGATGTTCCTCTACTTACTACAGGCAGAGTGAGTATGATAAATCTTCCTGTTTATTGCAAGGGCCTAGGCCCTTTATGCTCTAAATCTTTTTAAGCTGTGGACACAGAACTACTTTGTATCCTGGAACACTAATCAGCACTGGAGTGCTGGTAGAAACATCCCTAATGAACAATATTGTTCTCCATTGTAGAAGAATGGCAAACATTCATCTGGATAAAGTATAAAGAGGTACCTGGTTATACTACAGTGTGTATCAATAAAGTATAATGTAAATAACGAAGACCACAATAGTTCCTTCTATGTGTATCTTGTGTAGTCTTTTCTAAATCCTTCTTAGTGGCTTCATCATTACAAGGGTAGAACGATTACTTGCTCCTAGAAATGATTCAAGCCTGTTTCTATCTGTCTAATCACATCCCTTCATCTATACATCCCCACTGAATTTTGTTTCTTAGTTATGCTGGAATGTGACTGAAATAATTAGTATCACATTTCTTAAAAAGTGAATGCTACCTTTCTTCTCCAAAGAGGATTTCTTAAGTATTCCAGCTTTTATTTTCAGCTCATGTTTAATTTATACTTGCATCTCAACTCTATAGCTCTGGGCTGGGGGGAAAAAAGCATGAATATATCCATTTTACCAGCTTCCCCTGTGATCAGGCAATACTAATCTTTGTATTTTAGAACAAACATAAAGCCACCAATACGGATTTAAAGGATGGCTGCCAGATCAACATAGGATGGGGGGTTTTTTACACCCTTTCATTGCTAAATTATATTTTACTGTTTGAAATGATGTTAGGGAAAAATGTCAACGTGATTGATTAAGGGGAATATGAAATAACATCAAGGCCTGCTCAAGTATGCATCACTCCCTTATCTTCATTAGAGGTAACATTGTATGGCTTGGTTGCTAGAGCCTGCAACTACCTAGTTCTAAAATCCAATAATATCACCAACAACTTTTAAAAAACAATCTCAGCAAAAAAATCACTAGAATGAATGTCACATTACAGCAAAGGCACAGTCACTACCATCACTAGTGGTAGAAGTGGGCTAGAACTACCAGTTATTACACCAGTGCGGGAGCATCATGGGTTAGAACTGTAAATGGCATTCTGATAGTGAGTTTTGCATAGTAAAGATACCCAGTTTTGGGATATCTGTACATTCTGCATTGTTCTTCATAATGCACAGTTGCAGGCAATAATGTGGAATAGAACATGATTTTGAATTCAAATCAGAACACATCAAACCCAATTTGATGTTTAGATATAGCAACAGTGCCAAATCCTTTGGAACCTGGACATGGCTGGATATTAAACAGAATCATACATTCTGGAAGTCCAAAAATGAAGCTACAAGAAGATGAGTTTATAGGGAAAATTTAAGAAAAGATCATACAGAGAAGAAGTTACTTAAGAAAGGAAAAAGAAAAAGAACTATATGTTTGCTGACTTACATGGAATGGAAACTAGCTTAACATTTTGGGGGTAAAGAAATAAAGGGGGGGGGGAGATGGACAGAGAGTAATGGATTGCAAGGATCCTTCTTTTCCAACCAATAACAACAAAAGGAAAATAGGGGAAAGTTGTTGGGTGCAGTATTGTCCTGTTGATAAAACGAAAAGGATGGAGGGAGAGAGGGAGAGGGAGAGGGAGAGGGAGAGGGAGAGGGAGGGAGAGAGAGACTTGCTCTCTTGAGCAAGGAGTATTCTTCTCTAACTTGCTGAATGGTTGAGGGCCAATTTTATATTTTCCTTGAGGAATTCAGCAAATAAGAAGAAAGCAAAAACAAGTTCTTACTTCAGAATATTGGGAAATATTCAGTAAGCTTTCAAACAGAAAGAAGAAAAAAAAATGCTATTTCTTCTTCCTTCCTGGACTGAAGGGAGGGGTAAAAATGAGGGGATTCTTTAGCAGAATGAACAATAATGGACGGGATCTGTCAAATATTACCCTAAGCAAAAACCTCTTTCAGCAGGATCTGATAAATTTTGAATACTGGAATTACAAATGAGCCTGGAATTGGGAGAAATGCAGCAAAGTCCTTTAGTCTGGAATAACAATGGAAAAGCAGGGAAGGAAATTCAACTGTAGAGGAAGAAGAAAGAAGAAAATATGGAGGTAGACTTGTCCTTTTCTAAAACTCAGCACAGCCACAACTAAAACAAAGGAAAACAAGAAGAAGCTTTTCTTCTTAAAGTTACAGTAGAAGAAAAAAGATAATGAAATATATTACAGCAAAAGACATAGAAATATAAAACTGTTGTAACATATGTCTCAAGATTTCATCATCAACAGCAGAAAAATATGAAAAGTATAGAAGTTCTATCTGTGTATACATGCATATGTAATATAACCTTTTTTCAACTTTTGGCTTAAATTTTGTTGTTCTTTTGCTTCTGACTCAACATGACCTGATGGACATTATCTCAGTAGGATTTGCAGTAACTGTTTTTGTAAGTTCTTGTCAACTTATGTTTTCTATCATCAGTGACCCAACCACTATGTCTTCTGTCCCTTTTTTTATTGCCATAAATTTTTCCAAGTATCAAGGTCTTCTCCCAAGATTCTTGCTTTACTCTGTGTCCAAAATATTTAAGCTAGAGCTTCATTATTAGTGCTTCCAGTGAGCAGTCTGACTTTACTTCCTCCAACATTGAATAATTTGTTCTTTTGGCAGTCCAAAGTATTCTCAACAATCTTCTCCAGCACCACAATTCAGAGGCGTTAATTTTTCCACATTCAGATGGATGGTTCCACTTTCACATGAATATACTACATCTGGAAAAAGCCTGGCCCTGACGATAGATACCTTTGTCACTCTGATGTCTCTGCTCTTTAATATTTTCTCTATATTTGTCATAGTCTGTCTCCCAAGTAGTATCATGTCTATTCCTTTGTGCAGAGAAAGTGGGGTTATGGAAGGGGGGGCGGGCTTCTGAAAGTACCCTGCTTTACATGCTTTCCAGCCTCCTTCTAGTATAGAGAATGCTAATTTTCACTATGCAAGCAAGGTGCTGTTTTTGGCCTCATGGCATTGATCAGAGTATTGGAACTAGGCAAACACTGAGCCAATCACAAGTACAATTTAGGAAGGGTGGTAACAGGCCAGGTAACAATACTCTTGGCAAGTTAGGATCTCATCCATTCAGCAGAACATGAAAAAATCCTGGGGAGAATAGATTTTGTTCAGTTAGATACTTTTGGAGAAGTAGATAAAAAAATTAAATTTGATTGAACTACAAACAAGTGGAAAAAGAACTTACTGAATAGCACTGCAAAACCGCATTTCACACCAATTATTACACAGTTCAAAATGTCATGTAAATTGTGGCCAATGTAGCATTGATACTTGTTTACAAATGAAAGAGATGCTTGTTCTAGACCAAACAAAATCTTATTATCTCTGAGTCACAAGAAATGCTGAAATTCTTCTACGGGGAATAGTGGTGGTGAAGGGGGGGGGGGAATCAAATGTTTTCATATCAATTGTAATGAATAATTTTGTGTAACTTCTTAGGAAAATATGTAAATTACTGTGTAATCATGGTAGTGCAGCAAACATGATAAATACAAGAATGATCACCTAAATGTCTAATTAGTTTCGCTGCAGAGTCAGATTTATGCTGGAGTCTCTAATTGCAGTCTCACATTTTAATGAAGGTTTTAACATGACATAAAAAAGCTGACAAATGATATACAATATTCATTTGTTTTATTTCTTTCTTTGCTTCCAATTTCCCTTTTGTAATGACATTGCACACCTGCTAGAGAAGATATGTTTATACATTTTCTATGATGCCAGTTTAAAGAATTTCTGTTCATAACCGGAACAAATCTTACATAAAGCAGTGCATATTATCTCAGGATTATGGATCAATTCATGACTGAGACAAATATATATTCTGCATTTTCCTTGCATTACTCTGTATCTCCACAATTCCCTCTGCATCTTTAATCTTAATGGACATAAGGATATTTGTTTTCTTTTCTGCAATATTTCAGTATTTATTTCAACTGC